CTATGGGACCCTCTCCTCCTGGTCTTCCTCCTTGGGACCCTCTCCTCCTGGTCTTCCTCCTTGGGACCCTCTCCTCCTGGTCTTCCCTCTTGGGACCCTCTCCTCCTGGTCTTCCCCTATGGGACCCTCTCCTCCTGGTCTTCCCCCATGGGACCCTCTCCTCCTGGTCTTCCCTCTTGGGACCCTCTCCTCCTGGTCTTCCCCCATGGGACCCTCTCCTCCTGGTCTTCCCTCTTGGGACCCTCTCCTCCTGGTCTTCCCCCATGGGACCCTCTCCTCCTGGTCTTCCCTCTTGGGACCCTCTCCTCCTGGTCTTCCCTCTTGGGACCCTCTCCTCCTGGTCTTCCCTTTTGGGACCCTCTCCTCCTGGTCTTCCCCATGGGACCCTCTCCTCCTGGTCTTCCCTCTTGGGACCCTCTCCTCCTGGTCTTCCCCATGGGACCCTCTCCTCCTGGTCTTCCCTTTTGGGACCCTCTCCTCCTGGTCTTCCCCCATGGGACCCTCTCCTCCTGGTCTTCCCTTTTGGGACCCTCTCCTCCTGGTCTTCCCCCATGGGACCCTCTCCTCCTGGTCTTCCCCCATGGGACCCTCTCCTCCTGGTCTTCCCTCTTGGGACCCTCTCCTCCTGGTCTTCCCCCATGGGACCCTCTCCTCCTGGTCTTCCCTCTTGGGACCCTCTCCTCCTGGTCTTCCCTTTTGGGACCCTCTCCTCCTGGTCTTCCCCCATGGGACCCTCTCCTCCTGGTCTTCCCCCATGGGACCCTCTCCTCCTGGTCTTCCCCCATGGGACCCTCTCCTCCTGGTCTTCCCCCATGGGACCCTCTCCTCCTGGTCTTCCCCATCAGCACCTTCTCATGAGCGTGTGGGATTACAGCAGAACAAAGGTCACACTAAGACTTTGGGAATGGCCTGTGCACAGTGAGGGTCCCACGGTCCGGGACGGGCCTTTAGCTCCGCCCCCTCCGCCTGTAGTTCCGCCCCCAGCCTCTTTTTTGTCACCGAGGCCCCGCCCCTCGCTGTAATTAGAGGCGAGGTCAGAGGTCGAGCCGGGTTTAAGATGTTGTGTCCAGCAGTCAGTCAACAGGAGCCCTGCAGATGTGAGGCCAACGCTGACAGATCTGAGGCACAACACAAACTCACACAAACACACAATGACACACGAAAACACTAACTCACACAAACGCACAGCTCTGTCCACGAGCGTCCTGACAGCGGTGTGCAGGAGCTCAGAGGCCATAAGCTTTGGAGCTGGAAGATGACAAAGTTATTCATTTCAATGTATTTGTGTATCTTGAGTGCCGCTTGAGTACGCTGGCCCCTGGCGCGCTCCTCACTCTCCGGGAGCGATCCGGTGAATATAGCGACCGTGAGTCTCTGCTTGATTCTCACCCGGGTCCTGCTCCTCCCAGCTTCTGGTGAAGTCGCTGGGTCCACCAACTTAAGATGCCTCTCACGCGGTGATAGAGGCAGCGGCCCCCGGGGTTCAGCCGCTTCCAGTCCTCGGAGGCATTACGCGCTCCTCTTCCCTCCACTGTCCAGCCAGGCCGTCTCCCCGGACACCTGCTCAGCCACCGGTTGTGGCCCTGTAGCTCTCCTTGATCAATCAACAGACATTTCCACACTTCGTTCCGAGCCCTTCGTGTTTCCCGACCGCCATCCCACTCCTGACACCATAAGTGAAGGTTCGTTTAAAACAGAACACATGGCTGGGTCGGAAAGGGCGTTTTCAGAAGTTTTTTAATTAAAAACTCTCAGTAGAAAAAACAGTGGGAAATTACAAAAACACGTATTTACAGAGCACAGTGAAAGGACTATCGGCAAAAAGGATATTTACAATAAATATGCACGACTTCAACACTAAGTCTCTTTTTCCTTAGCTTTACACTCAAGCTCCTGCAGTCCACGTTACCTTCACTGTAACCGAGTCACGACCCCCATGGGGCAGACAAGCACACCTTTTGTACCCTGCTGGCCCCTCCCACATTACAAATCAATCATCGAATAAAACATCATATCTACACTACATGAATATTTCCTTATGTTCATGATTTCATAATACAGTTCCACGCATTTACCATAAAATACATTATGAGCTACACACTGCAAAGAGTCCAAATGTCCATGCAAATGAGCTGTGGTCATGACCCACAGACAGGTGCATTTAAGCCACGGCTCCTTATGTCCGGGTTTGCCAAACCGCACCATGGAGACGCCACGACCACGCCAGCACAGGCGAGTGAATGACACATGTTTAACACACCATGCAACGCTTCCAAGTGTGCACCCTGAAGACGCGTTCACGCACGCTACATGTCACAAACACAGTCCCTAGCAGTAGTCAATGAATGGGCTTGGCCGTTGCGCGCAGCCACCATGGCACCGGGCGCGCGCATCTTCACATGCGCTCCGTGGGACAGCGTGCTCAGGGACGGGCTCACCCCGTCACAGTACTTTACAAAGCTGTCGATTCTTCGACACAGATCAGAGAATCAAACAGTTCAAACACAAGAAATCCACTGATGACAAACACAGAGACATTGGTCCATAGATGTGGATGGTCCTGCATCAGAGGAACAACACTAAAACCAAGTGCACCCACGCTGAGGGTGGGATCCATACCCACGGACAGACGGGCTGATCCAGGACTGAGGCTGTCGATCCAGAACTGAGGCTGTAGACCCAGGTTTCCCTGTAGACCCAGGACTAAGGCTGTAGACCCAGGTTTCCCTGTAGACCCAGGACTGAGGCTGTAGACCCAGGTTTCCCTGTAGACCCAGGACTGAGGCTGTAGACCCAGGTTTCCCTGTAGACCCAGGACTGAGGCTGTAGACCCAGGTTTCCCTGTAGACCCAGGACTGAGGCTGTAGACCCAGGTTTCCTTGTAGACCAAGGTTTCCCTGACTACCTCAGGGACGCCACTTCCAGCGGCTGAAGGCTCCAGAGGAGGGTGTCCATGGCTCTGGTATGTGCCCCACTCCGTGCTCCATGTGTGATCTCACATCCAGACGTGGATTACAGCAGCTGATAAAGAGCTGACCTGCTTTAAGCCGATTATTGCACTTGTATAGAAGGCATCATGGAAAACACATCCATCAAGTCTCAGGGACCGTGTGCTCGACAGAGACTGATCCAGCATCAAACAGAACGATTAATCATTCAGGTAGAATCACAATCCTGTCGTTCCTCCATTCCTTATGTCTGATCCTGGAGACCTGTGGCACGGTGGCTGAGTGGATAGCACTCTCGCCTCTCAGCAAGAAGGTCCTGGGTTCAAATCCCGGCCGGACCAGGGCCTTTCTGAGTGGAGTTTGCATGTTCTCCCCGTGTCTGCGTAGGTTTCCTCCGGGTTCTCCGGTTTCCCCTACCACTAAAAATATGTACAATAGGTCTGGCATGCGCCTCCTGTTCGGCGACCCCGCTCCCATCTCTGTGTGGAGTGAGAGGACAAGTGCCCAAAAAAAAATAACAATTGTAAACCGCTTTGTGACTCTGGTCTGTGAAAGGCGGTATATAAATAAAGCTTACTTACTTACTTACTTACTTACTTAGTGTGGACACAACTTATGACCATGTTTTAAACTTCTCTCATTTCAATTTCAACTGTAACACATTAAACAACACTGGACACTGAAACTCTCTGTCGCCCCCGGATGTCCTGAAGATGTCTTAAAAAAGTCTCTTCACATGATGTTATTATCTCAGGCCAAACACAGTTGTGATAAACTACTACTTTAGCCACAGCTGCCCTGGGGCACACTGACAGAAGCGAGGCAACCATTCACACACACACCAGACTCATTCTAATGTGGGGAAAGAGTCTTGCCTAAGGACACAACGACAGTTTGGCACTTTACAGCCGCAGCCGCCCCACTGTGGCACCTTGTGTTTACAGAGGTCTCCCATCACAGCACTAACCAGGCCTTGGCCTACTTAGCTTCATAGGTCTGTCAGGATCTGACCACATAGATAGATACAGTATTCTCATCATGTAAACGTGGAGCAGAGAGGCACATGTGGTGCAGCCCGTCCTGCTCTGTCAGCTCCTGAGGAAGTGTGGAGGCTGCAGACCAGACACACATGTTTACACACAACACTGTTATACACACACACACACACACACACCCCACACTGTTCTGTTCCGGAGCCTCCTGTCATCTACTGGATGCCACACGGAAACTGTCTAGTCACTAACAAAGACGTGTTGCTATGATGGTTGCTAGGGCGAGAAATTCCCCACAAATTCAATTCCATTTATTCTTGTATCGCCCTAAACAACAGAGACTTAACAAAACCATTGAAATCACCAACACAGATCAGAGAACAGTTAACACACAAAATATACTGAACACATGGTATCGGTCCATGAATGTTGATAAATGTCATACATGTGATAAATGTCATACATGTGATAAATGTCATACATGTTGATAAATGTCATACATGTGATAAATGTCACACATGTGATAAATGTCATACATGTTGATACATTTCATACATGTTGATACATGTCATACATGTGATAAATGTCATACATGTGATAAATGTCATACATGTTGATAAATGTCATACATGTGATAAATGTCATACATGTTGATACATGTCATACATGTGATAAATGTCACACATGTGATAAATGTCACACATGTGATAAATGTCACACATGTGATAAATGTCATACATGTTGATAAATTTCATACATGTTGATACATGTCATACATGTGATAAATGTCATACATGTGATAAATGTCATACATGTTGATACATGTCATACATGTGATAAATGTCATACATGTTGATACATGTCATACATGTGATAAATGTCATACATGTTGATACATGTCATACATGTGATAAATGTCATACATGTGATAAATGTCATACATGTGATAAATGTCATACATGTTGATAAATGTCATACATGTGATAAATGTCATACATGTGATTCATGGCATACATGTTGATAAATGTCAAACATGTTGATAAATGTCACACATTTGATACATGTCATACATGTCGATAAATGTCATACATGTGATAAATGTCATACATGTGATTCATGTCATACATGTTGATAAATGTCAAACATGTTGATAAATGTCAAACATGTTGATAAATGTCACACATTTGATACATGTCATACATGTTTAATGTGTCCATTGTACAGTGTCCTTGGGTGTTCTGAAAGGCGCTTTCAAATAAAATGTATTATTATTATTATTATTATGTTGTAGAATTTTAAAGGGTCCTGGATCATCACAGTCCAACAGACTCCTGCATCAGAGGAAAAACTCTAAAACCCAGTGGGAAAAAAGTGAAAAACCTCAGGGAGGTCCACATTGAGAGAGGGATCTGCTCCACACGGACGAATGATCCAGGACCTAAGCTACAAAGGCCTCTCTCTGTGGAACCTGTCCTCTCGTGTCTCGCCTCTGGTCTCGTGTCTCGCCTCTGGTCTCGTGTCTCGCCTCTGGTCTCGTGTCTCGCCTCTGGTCTCGTGTCTCGCCTCTGGTCTCGTGTCTCGCCTCTGGTCTCGTGTCTCGCCTCTGGTCTCGTGTCTCGCCTCTGGTCTCGTGTCTCGCCTCTGGTGTCGTGTTTTGCCTCTGGTCTCGTGTCTCGCCTCTGGTCTCGTGTCTCGCCTCTGGTCTCGTGTCTCGCCTCTGGTCTCGTGTCTCGCCTCTGGTCTCGTGTCTCGCCTCTGGTCTCGTGTCTCGCCGCTGGTCTCGTGTCTCGCCTCTGGTGTCGTGTTTTGCCTCTGGTCTCGTGTCTCGCCTCTGGTGTCGTGTTTTGCCTCTGGTCTCGTTTCTCGCCTCTGGTCTCGTGTCTCGCCTCTGGACTCGTTGCAGCAGATCTGAGATAATGACTCTTGATTCAGCAGCAGGACAAGCAGAGGTCAGTCCCTGGACCGGGACACCACACAGAGGGACCACACCGAGGGGACCACACCACGCGGACCACACCGAGCTGACCACACCAAGCGGACCACACCAAGCGGACCACACCAAGCGGACCACACCAAGCGGACCACACCGAGCTGACCACACCGAGCTGACCACACCAAGCGGACCACACCAAGCGGACCACACCAAGCGGACCACACCAAGCGGACCACACCAAGCGGACCACACCGAGCTGACCACACCGAGCTGACCACACCGAGCTGACCACACCAAGCGGACCACACCAAGCGGACCACACCAAGCGGACCACACCGAGAGGACCACACCGAGGGGACCACACCAAGCGGACCACACCGAGCTGACCACACCAAGCGGACCACACCGAGAGGACCACACCGAGGGGACCACACCGACGGGACCACACCGACCACAGGGCAAGGAGCATATGGTGGAGACCATGAAAACATACACTCAGAAATATCATATAAAATACACATTTTTACCATTTTTGTCCAAAACAGAAACCCACCCCCTCTGTCTAAATGTGCTCAGACAATCCTCATGTCATGGACAGCAATACATTTTTCCTTTAGAAACACGAATATATCATTCTAGATTGTAACGCTATACCTTCAACTACATCACATTAACCGTTTAAATTGACCTCTAAATGTGTATTTATATATTGAATATCATCTCTGCTCCAAGGGGTCCTGTTGTATTTCTAAATCTTCTTAATTTCAAAGTCCAAGTGGACTTTTATCAGGAGACACACGGTATGTATGTCTCTATCTATCTATGTATGTATCTATGTACCTATGTATGTATCTATAGTGTGTACAGTGGAATTTGGGAACCGCCGGCTGATTAGGCCATGTCCCGCTGTTGTCATTAGCACACACTGCACACACTGGACTTAATGGGAGAGACACATTGCAGCTAATTGCCTTAATTTGGATGAAGGCCTGTGACAGCTCGCTGGTGAGGAAGGGCACACACAAGGTCAATTGTCCTGCGCCTGAATGCTGAGCTCATTTCTGATGTGTTATGATTGAGCGAGTAGACACTAATGAACAAGGAGGCCTCATTATTTCAGGGTTCAAAGAGTACGTACAGAAAGCACAAGGAGAATTGTGTTCACTTCGCTGCGCCAGACTCTGTGTGCGAAATCATATCATTTCATCCAACGTCATTCCAGCGTCAGCACACGTCATGTTCTCAAAGGGGCCGAGGACCGAGTCTTTCAGCAGCTTTCGGACGAGAACCAGCTCACTCTGCTCTGTTCCAAGAGAAAAGTCCGGCATCGGTTTGATAGAAACTTGTTTTCGTCACAGCCACAATGTACGATTCAAAGTTTTTTTCAAGACAGCCACGTCCCACAGGAGACACATGACAGACACAGCCTTGTTACAGATGGTACAAGCCACGGATGGCGTGATATTGGAAGTTCGTAAACACTGTTAAAAAAAGCCATAGCTTAATTAAGAAATCCAATAAAATATTTATAATAATTATATTAAAAATAATAATTATTAAAAGGTTTTTGAATGGCTACCACATGTGCTACCATTTTAAGCTATCCTTCGCCGCAGCAATTCAAAAATACCTTAATTTTGTTGTTGAATATTGATGATCTTGTCAGCAGTTGCAGCACCACCATCCTCATCCCCAGCCCCCTCAGAAGCACTTACACCTTCTCCACCTACAGTTTGGGTTTGTGTAAGCCCTCAGTCGTACAGGGATTAGTCAAAGCAAAGGAAGGTTTCTCACCCATCATCTGTACTTCTTAGCAAGTTTTCCCGACGTTTCGTCCTCAAACTAGCGGACTTCTTCAGGGAATGAACTCTTGGACCGCGCGTTGGAGATTTATAACCTATGGGTGTGGTTAGCCACACCCTAATCCTGATACTAATATATATATACTCATAGATGCGAGGCAAAACAAATCTTAACCCTCCTCCTCTGTTAAGAGAAAGTTTCTGTTTCCTCACAAAAATGGCTTCTTTCACCCCTCTCTCAAACCAATTCTTCTCCAGAGCCAGAATTTTAACCTCTGTGTCATCCACCGTGTGGTTGGAGGCCTTGAGGTGGAGATGAACAGCCGACTGTGGCCCACTAGAGTTTTCTCTACGATGTTGGTAAAGTCGTTTCTGTAGAGTTTGTTTGGTTTCTCCAATATAGTGGTCAGTGCACTCCTCTTCACTACATTTAATTGAATACACCACATTGCTCTGTTTGTGTCTGGGTGTTTTGTCTTTGGGATGCACTAATTTCTGTCTTAACGTGTTGAAAGGTTTGAAATACACAGGGATTTTGTGTTGCCTAAAGATTCTTTGTAGTTTCTCTGAAACTCCCGCCACATACGGTAAGGACACCCCTCTCCTCCTACTTTCTTCTGTCTGTTGGACTGTGTCTCTGGCCTTTCTCGTCCTTTGGGCTTTAGTAAAAGACCACTTGGGGTAGCCACATCTGGAAAGTGCTCTCTGAACATGTTTGGTTTCTCTGTTCTTTCCCTCCGAGCTTGTGGGGACCTGGTGGGCTCGGTGTTGAAGCGTTCTAATGACCCCGAGTTTGTGTTGTAGCGGATGATTTGAATCAAAGGCCAGGTACTGGTCAGTGTGAGTGGACTTTCTGAAGACCTCAGTCTCTAATTGTCCGTTCTCCAGTATGATGACCTTACAATCTAGAAAGGCCAGTTCACTCTCCTTAGCATCCTCGCGAGTGAAATTTATAAAAGGGTCCACCGAATTAATGTGTGCTGAAAATGGTTCCACTTCCTGTTTCTTTAACTTAACCCATGTATCGTCTACATATCAAACCAATGGCTTGGCGCTGTCCCTTGGTAAGAGCCCAGGGCTTGTTCCTCCAGTTTCTCCATATACAGATTGGCCACTATAGGAGAGACTGGGGAGCCCATCGCACAGCCATGAATCTGTCTAAAGAAGGTGCCTCTAAATTGGAAATACGTGGTGCATTTAGTGCAAATTAGTGCATCCCAAAGACAAAACACCCAGACACAAACAGAGCAATGTGGTGTATTCAATTAAATGTAGTGAAGAGGAGTGCACTGACCACTATATTGGAGAAACCAAACAAACTCTACAAAAACGACTTTACCAACATCGTAGAGAAAACTCTAGTGGGCCACAGTCGGCCTCCAACCACACGGTGGATGACACAGAGGTTAAAATTCTGGCTCGGGAGAAGAATTGGTTTGAGAGAGGAGTGAAAGAAGCCATTTTTGTGAGGAAACAAAAACCTTCTCTTAACAGAGGAGGAGGGTTAAGATTTGTTTTGCCTCGCATCTATGACGACATCCTAAAAACAACGCCCTAACTTGGGACAAGGTCAGTGACATGCTAATGAGTTAGGAGGGGTGAGACCTGCACTCCACTTGAGCATCCAGCAGACAATAGGTCAGTGACATGCTAAGGAGTTAGGGTCGTTAGACCTGCACTCCACTGGAGCATCCCAGCAGACAATAGGTCAGTGACATGCTAATGAGTTAGGAGGGGTGAGACCTGCACTCCACTTGAGCATCCCAGCAGACAATAGGTCAGTGACATGCTAATGAGTTAGGAGGGGTGAAACCTGCCCTCCACTTGATGATCCCAGCAGACAATAGGTCAGTGACATGCTAATGAGTTAGGGTCGTTAGCCTCAGCAGGGTCGTTAGACCTGCTCCCTTCTACATCAAGCAGACCTTAGATTGTTTATGAGTTAGTATCAGGATTAGGGTGTGGCTAACCACACCCATAGGTTATAAATCTCCAACGCGCGGTCCGAGAATTAATTCACGTCGGGAAAACTTGCTAAGAAGTACAGATGATGGGTGAGAAACCTTCCTTTGCTTCTCCACCTACAGTTCCTGTGAAGCCCCCATCGTCGCTCCAGGCTACAGCAGACAGGCCTGTGCTGGGGGGTTCCTCAACCTCCTCCCCCTCAACCAAAGACTCCCTCGCCACCTCCTGTGGACCAGTCTTGGGTTCCCCCTGCCACGACCACTTCATCAAGAGAAATAAGGGTGACTTCTTCCTGTGTTTTCCATCCCGCCTTCACTATTAGACTTACATCAGGTAAGTTGCAGACATGATAAAGTGTATTCCTCTCAGATTCAGATTCAGTTTATTTGCCATTTGCAGTAAAAACACCACATTGGAATACATTAGCAAAAGTCTCCAGGGTGCACAGACAAATACAGACATAAAACAACATTAAAAGACAAAAATAAAACAAATAAAACAGTAAACAAATGTCACTGTGAAATCGATCGACTAAAACAGTTTCAAAACAAGTGCAAGAACATTAAAGTGCTCTGTTCACACTGATAACAGCTTGTGGATAAAAACTGTTAGCGTAACGAGATGTCCTGCATCTCAGAGAGCGATATCTTCTGCCAGAGGGAAGAAGCTGGAACATGGCTTTCCCAGGGTGGCCAGAAGAGTCATTAACAATCCTCAGAGCTTTGTTTAAAAGTCTGGATTTATAAAGAACCTCCAGAACAGGAAGCTCACAGCCCACGGCCCTCTTTGCAGAGCGGAGCACCTTGTTTAAAGCTCTCTTTTCTTTATCTGTGATGTTTCCAAACCACACAGACACAGAACCAACAAGTAAACTCTCAATGGTGCAGCCATAAAAGTTAAGCAGGATCTTAGAGTTAGTGGTAAATTCTCTAAGTTTACGCAGAAAGTAGAGACGCTGACGAGCTTTCTTAACGACTCGGTCAGTGTTTTTAACCCATTTCAGGTTAGACAGAGTTAAACCCAGAAACTTGCTCCTCTACGATCTGCACCTGGGAGTTGTCGATTACGACAGGCAAATGAGAACTATTGCGACTGAAGTCGTAGACCAGTTCACATGTTTTGGATGCGTTCAACTGGAGGTTGTTAGTTTGACTCCACTGAACCACATTTTGTATCTCTGCTCTATAAGAGGATTCATCAGTGTCACTGATGAGACCGATGATGGTGGTGTCATCAGCATATTTAATGATCAAGTTTGAGTCAGAGGAGGACACACAATCGTGAGTGTACAAAGTAAAAAGCAAAGGACTCAAAATACATCCCTGAGGAGAACCAGTGCTCACAGAAACAACATCAGAAAAACACTCTCTGAGATCTGTCAGTTAACTCATTGACCGCCATTGACGTGTTAACACGTCAATGGCGTGTCCCGCTATTTTTACGTTCCCAGATGTCTATTGTATCTAATATGTATGGGGATGATATTTTATCTAGCCAGCAGGTGGCAGCATTTCTCTATGAATGGTTTGAAAACAGTTAGGTGCACATGTGGTGCCTCTTTTTTCTCAGCTTTCTGGTGATTTCAGTAAAACTTCCCTCTACTCAACTGGGGATTACAGGGGAACGAGACAAGCTAGAAACAAAATTCTTTTTGCTGATGAAAGTAGACAGTCCATTCTTTCAGAATCTGGTTTTGGATTTCAGATAGTCATAGTA